ATAAAAATAAGCATTTTCATGCTCAAGACAAGCTGGGGAGCACGGACTTAGAACCTTTCTTTTCACTATTTTTAACTTATAAAAACCCAAGGTTTTCCTTGTTTGGAATGACATAAAAGTTTTTTTTTTTAATGTTTCTTTGAATATCATAGCTGTCTTTTGATGTTTGTGAAAGTTAGCACTAGGATAGTTTACATTTGGTGCATTTAGACTTTCTTCTTAATGGTTTTTCAATAGCCCTCCAACTAGTAGTGAGACACCCTTTCAATAAAGGTACAGGATCCGTTCCAAATAAAGTTTATCTGCATGTGTTGTGGTGTACAGTAAATATTTACACTATTAAATGGTTTCTTCATATTTCTGTTTCTTACAGCTAGCACATTTTTCAAAAGTACTGTTACTATAAATAGAATATATTTAAAGAAAGGGTAAAAGTTATGTCCGGGGACATTTATCCTTAATTTTAACTCGTTTTTTTCATCTAGATTAGTCCTAAATATGCAGTAAAACTTAGCCAGCTGCAATGTTGTCAGTATAACAGTAAGGAGAAAAAATTTTCAAAGATTATTTCAGAGTAACTGGTAATTGAAAAACTTAACTAAAAAGACAAACACACATCTCTCAGCTTTTTCTGTAACATGACAAATGATAAAATGATTGTATTTGAGTTTGTGTAAGTCATAACCTTATCAATTTGTTATGTTTTTTGAATGTTCAAGTCCACTAAATATGTCAACTAAAATATTTGTGGGTAAAAGTAAAGATATGATATTTTTTTCTCTTCTCAAAATTAAGAACATCTGTTTAGGGAGTATTCGGGGGTAAAGCAAGTGGGACCATGTGCTTTATGTTTACAGAAAATGTTGAGTATGAAAAAGATAAGCAATGGAAGTAGCTTTAAATGTTGATGTGTTGCCACCTTATGCCTATTTTTAATACTTAATGTAAAATTATTTAAATAAGATCGAAGGTGTTCAGATTTCTTTTGAAATAAAAAGTTATCACAATGAGGTCAAACAATATAGAAAAGAAGAAAAAGCATCACTATTCTTTAGGGTAGAATTGGTAGAGAAAGTTTGTTTCATTATTTATATATTAATCATTTACTTTAGTCTAAAGACTGCTTCTAACTGTTATTTCCAGGCAGATGTTAAATTTTTCTAATTAGTAGTAGTCGATGCCTTGAAGACTAATTGAATATAAAATGACAATGTAAGACAATTTTGATTCTTTCCATTTTTGGTTTCATTTTGTAATGTAACCATAATGCAAGACTTCTTAACCTTAGCAATATTGACATTTGGGGTCAGATCATTCTTTGTTGTGGGAGGCTGTCCTGTGCATTGTCGGATGTTTAGCAATATCTCTGGCCTCTACCCACAAGATACTAGTAGCACTGCCCAGTCATGAAACAATGTCACCAGACGTTGACAGGTGTCCCCTAAGGGGCAAAAGTAATTCCAGTTGAGAATCACTGCCATAGTGTATTTACTAAAGTTCTTATCAGCTTTTCAGGAGTACAATTTGAAATAAAGCAGTGTACCGTTAGTAGCTGGGTACAAAATCAGAACAGAAAAGCTGCTAGGCAGTATTTTGGATAGTTCAGCATAAAAAAAAAGATCAGAAACAGTAAGTACATTTCTTAATCAAAGACTGGGTTGTCTAGGTAATTGGTACAGAACAGACCACTGGAAAGATTTTAGTGATTACCACACAGGGAAATAAAATTAGTTAATAGCTAGAGATGTCATTTATGGCTGTTTTTCTTCAATCATTATTTTAAAATGTGAAGCAGCAGGATCTGCAGATATTAGAGGACACATGAAGGTCCTTGTAACTATTTTGTGTTACCCCTAAATCACAGTGATTTTCCATGGCGTGCTGGAATAAAAATGTCTCACTCCTTTTGTCATTATGTCTACAACAGGTGATGCCCAGTGCCCTGCTGGGAATGCCATTAATCTAACTTCCTCTCCAAAGTTTTTGGCATTTGGTATCATGACAAGCACTCAGCAGGCAAGCCGGTTCACAGGGTGTTTTTCAGTTTAAATATATGCCAGAGAAAATCGAAAAATATATCTATTTGAGAGATACAGAAAAGCAAAATGATTTCAAATTTTATTAAATTGAATATGCAGGAGAGAGAAATATACCAAAGCCTTAGCTGCCTACATGTATTAAGCATCATATGCATTTGAAAACATCTCACAGTAGCTTTACTAAACATGTATACAAAAACCTGAATAGAAATTATTGATAGAAGGCAGTTAACATCACCAGACTCCTTGAGGTATTGTCAAGAAGAAGGGAAGACAGAACCAACCTGGATGCTGGGAGAAAACCCTACTCACTAGGTCTGTGTTGTTCTCCTTTACTCTGTGACATATACCTGCTGCAGAGCAAGGCAGGAAGAGGAAAAAGGAAATGGTATGTCTTCCCTGATTCTTTTTAAAATGAACTGAACTAATCTTGTTTTAAAACCCTGCCTCAAGGGGTAGCTGGGTGGTTCAGTCAGTTAAGCCTCCACTCTTGGTTTCAGCTCAGGTCACGATTGAGATCAAGCCTCACATCCAGCTCCGAATCCAGCTCCTTGCTCAGCATGGAGTCTGTTTGGGATTTTTTCCCTCTTCCTCTCCCTCCCCCTCTGCTCCTCACCCCCTGCGCGTGTGTGCAAGCTCTCTCAAATAAATAAATGAAATCTTAAAAACAAAAACAAAACCCTGCCTCAAAAAAAATCCTATAAGATGTTTATATTAGATTGGACTTCTGAAAGTAAAATCATGCTATGCTATGGTCCTTCAAGCGACCCTCTGAACTACTGGACGCTTGTATGGTAGATTTATAATTTGTTCTTGCAACTGGAGATGTGTTTTGTTTTGTTTTGTTTTTACAGTTTCAATGGAATCAGGATTCAAAAAAGATCCATATATTGTGATTATTTGATGTATTTCTTAAATATTTTTTAGTCTTCAGTTTTCCCCATCTTCTCCTTATTTTCTCCCTTGTAATTTACGTGTTGGAGAACTGGGTTGTTTGTATCACAGCATTTTCCACAGCCTGGAGTTTGCTCATTTTATCCCAATAGAGTCACTTACTGAGGTATCACTTATATTCCTCCATCTCCTGTATTTCCTGTAAACTGGTAGTTGGAGCTAAAGACTTAATCAGATTCAGATTCAGTTTTCTTTTTCAAGTTCAAAAACAAGGTGGTGACCAAATCATAGTGACAGTGTTCTTGACTTTTTGCTCAGTGCCTTGCAAACTATGTGCCTCAAAATGTGCTTATGTTCTATAGGCATTATGTCATTTAATCATCTTTAAGCTTCATAATACTGGTACATATCAGTTTCTGTCTGATGACTAGATCCCTTTAGTAGGGTCAAATAATCTTGAATGTCTTTCAAACAAACTCCTCAGTGTATACCCCATTGTCATTTATGTGATTTAATTTAGAATTCTGTCTGAATTTTCTTTTTACTGGATTCTTTTAGAGCTATACAAAAATAGCTTGCATTAAAGGCATTTTTTATATTTTAATAATAAAGCTCAAAGACCTGTCACTTCACTGTGAATTTGTTATACTCAAGCTTTTGGTACTGGAATTCACCATCTGTTAATCTCACAAAGACAGATATCTAAATCGTAAATAGGGCCAACAGAAGTCAGTATTTCCTGAGTCTCTTTTTCCTTTGCACTCATTGTCTTCTGCAGGTGCACTTAGGTCTCTTTCATCTCTCTCTGCTTTCTTTGTATGCTCACAGTGCTCACAGTATCCTACTGTTACCCAGTGTGAGAAACTGGCTCCTGATTGTAAAAGCAAAAGTAGCTTTTCATTGTTTGTTTACATATCTGTAATTTGTTCTGTTCAATTATCTCCATACCCCCAAAATTTACCATTTATAAAACCCAGACCATTGGAGTTCCAGACTCAAAAAATAAATGTCCAGTTATCTTGACCAACTGACACTTTTGAATATTAAACTGTTTAATATGTTGTTGATGGAGAAAAGGCTGTAGCTGGCCCAAGTTGCAATTAGATAGCAGAGAACTGGGAGCAAAACAATGCAAAGAGGATCCCATTGTGTAGCTTTCCAAGCTGACATGCAAAGAGTAATTTATTCTTTATGTATCTTAACCCTTCTTCTCCAATTATTTTTCCTTTAATAATTGTAACAACATTCTCCTCAAGCTTCCAGAGTACCCATTAGGTGAAGCATTTGGTTGGTTGAATGGAAGGAACCTAAAGCCTTGGTGAATACAACAGAGAAATAAGAATGAGCTGGAAGTTTAATTTCTTATTCTTTTTTTTTTTTTTAAGATTTTATTTATTTATTTGACAGAGACACAGCGAGAGAGGGAACACAAGCAGGGGGAGCGGGAGAGGGAGAAGCAGGCCTCCTGCGGAGCAGGGAGCCCGATGCGGGGCTCGATCCCAGGACTCTGGGATCATGACCTGAGCCGAAGGCAGATGCTTAACGACTGAGCCACCCAGGCGCCCCTAATTTCTTATTCTGGTTATACTTCACTATGAGACATTAAACAAATAGCCAAATACTCTGTTCTTATTTCTTTGAAACAAAATTATTTTTATGCTGATTATCCATAAAGAACTTGAAGATTCTTATTTGAAATTGTCCTCTGTAAGCTCATAGTATATCGGAATTGTGTCTCTTTACCTGATCTCACAGAGTGCCCAGGGTAGCCTGGTGCACGTGCTCGTGCTTCATAAGTAGCTTTAGATGCTGGTGGTATTTGAAAGGTTATACATTTTAAAGGGTATTTTGTTCCCTTTTTCCCTGGCAGGACCAAGAAGCTTCCTTTTCTAAGACCAGTGCTGTTTGGACTCAGTGAAAGTACACTTTGTTCTAGGAGAATTGCCATGTGAAAGCCTAGAATATATATTGAGTTCTTCCAAGAAGGGGGGCAAAAATCATGTTCTAGGACAGTGAAGGCTGACTTGGTGCTGAACGAATGATTGTTATGTGCTCTTTTACCCACAGGCTCGCTTTTCATATGTGCGGATGAAATATCTTTTCTTTTCCTGGTTGGTGGTTTTTGTTGGAAGCTGGATTATATATGTGCAATACTCTACCTATACAGAACTATGCAGAGGGAAGGACTGTAAGAAAATAATAGTAAGTATTTTTGATTTCCTAGTATGTAGAAAAACTATATTAATAATATATTTACTGCTTATATACTTACTAATAATTGTTTTCAAAAAGTAAAAGTTAATTTGACCTTAGGGTTGTGTTGAACTTTATAGCTTTTCAGTGTGACCAAGTTAGTAGGAGTGTTCCACGCCTTGAAAAATCTACACTTCAGAAATCTAAATATATAATACTAGATTAAGTGTGAGAGCATCCTCATTACAGACAGGGATTCTTTTTAAAATATACTAAAAGTTGAGTTCACTCACATCAGATGAGTTTTTAAATGTTTAGAGTATAAAAGTATTACTTACAGGCAACCTTTCTGGAACACACCTTTTGAATAAATGGGGTCATTCTCAAATACCAAAAATGTATCTGAAAAGCATATAATATATTTTGTATTTAATTTCTATCCTAATGATTGGATATATCTCAGGAAAATTGCTCTATCAGTCTAAGATTTCTAATAGTAATTATTGGTTATATGTTTGAGGATCAGTAAATTTAACTCCTTGTTTTCTTCTAATATCTTCTGATATAAGTAATACTAAAACATTGCCTCTGAGAATTACATTTTTTATAATATTGTTGGGATCCCAATTACTATAACTTATTAAAGATTCTGTAGTTATTAAGTAGTTACTCTTCACCCAGGCCAGTGGTGCTAGGTATATGCATATAGCAGGGAACAGGTTATCATGACCTTAGGAACTTAGAGTCTAGCAGGGAAGAAAATGAATACAGTAAGGTAGGATAATGATTGCAATAGCAAGTGTTATAGGAACATAAGACAGGGAGACCTGAAGTTCTAAGGACATGAAAATCAGTTTAACTCTAGGCATTCTCAATTAAGATAAAAAATTATTCCCCAGGAGTATTACAGCCTCTTAAATAGGAAAGGGAGGAATTACTGATATAATAAGCAGGGAAATGAATTAGTAAAGATGAGTCCCAAATCAAGTTCACAGGTGTCAGTCTTACATGTCCATTTCAGTTGGCCATCTCAGATCATTGAGGAATTTTTTTTTAAGACTTTATTTATTTATTTGAGAGAGAGCATGAGGAGGGGGAGGGGCAGAGGGAGAGGAAAAAGCAGACTCCCCGCTGAGCAGGGGGCCTTACGTAGGACTCCATCCCAGGACCCGAAGATCATGACCTGAGCTGAAGGCAGATACTTAACCCACTGAGCCACCTAGGCACCCCCAGATCCTTAAAGAATTTTAAGATAGAAACCTCTGGGGCCAGGCAATGTACTGCATACTGGTCAGTAATACTTAAAATAATACTATGAAAGTCCCCCAAGCCCATTTTACAAATAAAGAAATATGTACACCTGAAATTAATGTAACATTGTATGTCAGCTATACTTTAATTAAATATATATAATTTATATATATATATGACTAAGAGAGAGAATTTGGTTGTGATGGTGGAGCCAGAATTTGGTCCTAATTCTATCTCTATATAAAGCTCAGATTCTTTCTGCTACCCTATATCAGAAAAGACTAACAAAATTATAGCTTAATAAAACTAAGAAAAAAATCCCACAAAACTCAACCTGCTTAACCTTCAATGAAGAAGAAAGAAGCAGGAGTTATATAATCAATTATAATAACATAAAATAACCAAAACTATTTGAAATGTCTGTTTTCACTTTTTCTAGGGCACTTTTCTCAAACTAGGTGTCTTGGGGCACATTAAAAGGTATCCCATGGATAAAAGTTGTCTGCTGTCAGATATATTCAAAAACAGCAGGTTAAACAAAGATAAATAGGTGACTTTACTGAGGACTTCCCAGGATCTTTAATATACTAATATATACTGTGCATCTCCAGAAGAAGCAAATATATTTGATTAGGAAAAAATTCATCCCACCACAACTCTCAGGAAGACCGATTAACATCATCTGGTGATGCTAGAAATACTATAATAAGAGATTAAAGCAAAATGAAATAGATATGCTTTTATTGTGTATTAATATAATAATATTCAAATTATAAGGCATATTACGGTGAATATTCTGTTACAAGTGAGTTATAGTTGTTAAGTATTTTTTATTGTATTTATTTTTAGTATTTTATTATTAAAGTATTTTTCATGATTTTTCCTTTAGTTTCACTATATAAGAAATGGAAGCAGAATTCTAGCATAATTTAATAATTCTAATATAATAATTCTAGCATAATTTAATGGTTATCTTACTAAAATTTGAAAATAATGAAAACATTTTCTGAGCCTAAAACGTATCTTTTCCCTGAGACTGGCTTTAAAAAAAAATTGTAGTTTCTCTGCATTTGGGAATTGTGTTCTTAAAATTTACCAAAACTGGTAGTATTGAGATCAGTAGTACTAATTAAAAAACATTTAATAGGAATTGTGTGATTGGAACTAAAAAGCAAGCAGAAAAAATATTTCTTAAGTACACATTAAAGCTTCAAAGAGCTGACAGGGTATCTTGTGAGGAATTACTTGGTCAAGATCTGGGAGGGGATAAGATTTGAGAGAGGTGAGCCTAGATTTGGTGACTTTGTTCGCCTGGGGTATATGACCTAAAATAGAGTTTTATGGGGTTAGGAAGATAAAAATCTAGTCCAGGTCCTACCAAGGGTAGGACCTTGGTACACCATGCTGTGGGTTGATACCCTAAAGAGCTGAACCCCAACGGTAAAGGTAAACTAAAAGAACCTCAGTGATGTGAGCTGAATTTTGGAGCCTCTTCTTCCTTCAGGGATATTGCTGATACTTGGCATGAGCAGGGGTCTGAGAAACAGGACTGTATACTAGGAGAGAGCTGCTGCTTGGTACAAGAATTAGCAAACTTTTGTAGAAAGTAAGAGAGCCTCAAGCATACAGCCGGTTATCCTGTTGGGATATTGCCAAATCCTAGGGTTTTACAGAATGGGAGGCTAAACATCTCATTGGAAAGCCTTTGAAAAGCAGAGCAGACATTTTGGCAGTCACACAAGATACAGCCTAGAGTTATGAACCTGCCAATGGGGGGAAACCCCAATGAATTCCCAGGCTCTCTATTTAAAACCCTAGAGGGCTATGCTCTTGGAATGGAGATCAGCCAAAAATAGCTTGATCTTTACCAGAGCTGCAGCCCAGCCTCCATTCAGCACAGTGCCTGATTGGGTTAAGATGATCAGCTACCGGGGCGCCTGGGTGGCTCGGTCGTTAAGCGTCTGCCTTCGGCTCAGGTCATGGTCCCAGGGTCCTGGGATCGAGCCCCACATTGGGCTCCCTGCTCCGCGGGAAGCCTGCTTCTCCCTCTCCCACTCCCCCTGCTTGTGTTCCCTCTCTCGCTGTGTCTCTGTCAAATAAATAAATACTAAAAAAAAAAAAAAAAAATGATCAGCTACCATTTTATCTGTCTACCCAAGGGAAGGGAAATGAAATGAAAGGGAAGGGAAACCCTCTCTGGAGTCACTATGTGAAAAACTAGAGGACATGGCAAAAGACATGGTGGCATGATCAAAAACTAAGAGATAAATATGGACAGTAGAATCAGATCCACAGATGATCCTGATAGTGCCTCAAAAAGTTAAATAGGGAATTACTGCATGATCCAACAATTCTGCTTCTAGGTATATACCCAGAAGAATTGAAAGTAGGAACTCAAGCAGATACTTGCATACCAGTGTTCACAGTAGCATTATTCACAATAGCCAAATGATGGAAACAACTCTAACATCCATTAACAGATGAATGCATAAACAAAATACATGGAATATTATTCAACCTTTTTAAAAAGAATGAAATTCTGATGCATTCTACAACATGGATGAACCTCAAAAACATTATGCTAAATGATATAAGCCAGACACTAAATGACAAATATTGTATAATTCCACTTATATGAGGTACCTAGAATAACAATTATATATAAATTGGGAGAATGGTAAAAGGAGTTAAAATGTTTAAGATTGTATGTAGGGTAAAAGTATCAACTAGTTAATATCAATTAGTCTATTCATAATTAATTAATAAAATGTCCCTCAATAACTTTAGACTTTGTTGATTGAAATATGCATATTGTTATTTCTAGGATAGCCTCTGGAATAGAGAAAGAGTGTATCCTCTCCAAACTAATAAAAAAAAAAAGGAATAATAAAAGAATACTCTGTTCTAAAGAAGGCAAGAAAGTAAAGAAAAAAGGAACATATAGGCAGTAGAATTACAAAATACATAATAAGACAATAGATGTCAAATATTGAAATCCCAGGAAACAGACTCAGAGACTGAGACTTGCCTGCAGGATGTTTATTGGGATGGGCTCTTGAGATTAACATCTGTGGGGAAGTGAGGAAACAGGATAGACCAGAGAAGTTAAACTGCACTACAGTGGTAACAAAGACCTCAGTCAATTCTACAGGGAACTTTGGAGCTAGGGTAGTCTTGCAAATGTCCAGGCATTTATATCCTGTCACTGACCAGTCACTGGATACAGTTTTCTACCCTCTTCCACCCTCTCTTAAGGGGACGTTACCTTGGGTAAGGCTGTATTCTAGGCTGAGGACAAGTCCCAAAGAAAAATTCAGCTGAGAGCTGTTGACTACTTAGATGACCAATAGCTGAGGGAATGAGTGTTCCAGTTCTGGACAAGATATGGCTGACTTACCATGGCATTGGCTGTAGTATATTTCAAACCAAATATGTTGGGCGCCTGGGTGGCTCAGTTGGTTAAGCAACTGCCTTCGGCTCAGGTCATGATCCTGGAGTCCCGGGATCGAGTCCCGCATCGGGCTCCCTGCTCGGCAGGGAGTCTGCTTCTCCCTCTGACCCTCCCCCCTCTCATGCTCTCTCTATCTCAGTCTCTCTCTCAAATAAATAAATAAAATCTTAAAAAACAAAACAAAACAAATATGTTGGTAATTACATTAAATGTAAATGGACCAAATGCTTTAGTTAAAAGGCAAAGACTGTCAGACTGTACTAAAATTTTTTAAAAATTATATTTACAAGAGACACATCTAAAATAT